TTTCTCCTTCTGTTAATGTGGTGATTACATAAACTAATTTTTGTGTGTGTGTGTGAGGAAGATCAGCCTGGAGCTAAATCCGATGCCAATCCTCCTCTTTTTGCCAAGGAAGATTGGCCCTGGACTAACATCCGTGCCCATCTTCCTCTATTTTATAGGGGGACGCCACCACAGCATGGCTTGACAAGTGGCACATTGGTGCGTGCCCGGGATCCGAACCTGCGAACCCTCGGGCCACTGAGGTGGAGTGCATGCACTTAACTGCTGCACCACCGGGCCGGCCCGTGCATAAGCTAATTTTTAATACATTATTTATTTATTTATTTATTTACTTACTTATTTTTTGTGAGGAAGATCAGCTCTGAGCTAACATCCATGCTAATCCTCCTCTTTTTGCTGAGGAAGACCGGCTCTGAGCTAACATCTATTGCCAATCCTCCTCCTTTTTTTTCCCCAAAGCCCCCCAGTAGATAGTTGTACGTCATAGTTGCACATCCTTCTAGTTGCTGTACGTGGGACACGGCCTCAGCATGGCTGGAGAAGCAGTGTGTCGGTGCGTGCCCGGGATCTGAACCCGGGCCGCCAGTAGCGGAGCGCGCGCACTTAACTGCTAAGCCACGGGGCCGGCCCCCATAAACTAATTTTTAAGAGTTAAACCAACTTCACATTCCTAGAATAAATGCAGCTTATTTATAATGTATTATTATTATTATACATTGCTAAATCTAGTTTGCTATCTTGTTTATAATATTTCAGTTTGCTAATATTTATTTTGTACAATCCTGTTCATGAGTGACATTGGCCTGTAATTTTCCCTCCTTTAATGTCCTTTTCAGATTTTGATATCAAGGTTATAAAACAAACTAGGAAGTAGTCCCTCTTTTCTATTCTCTGAAAGAGTATTATTTCTTCCTTAAAGGACTGAAGTTTTCAAAAATTTTTTGCTTTGTGGGTGGCGGAGATTTTCAATTATGAATTCAGAAGACATTAATATCCACTAATTTTAAGATCTCAATATACACAAGAATATTCAGATTCTCTATTTCATCTTGCATCAGTTTTGCTAAGTTGTGTTATTTCAGGAATATGCCCATGTCATCTAAATGTTCAAGTCTGTTGGCATAAAACTGCTCATAGTATTTTTTATTATGTTTTAAATGTCTCTAGGATCTGTAGTGATATCTCCTTATCTACTGCTGATAAATGAATTGTTTTATGATCTCTTTTTCTTGATGAATCAGATTAAATTCAGATCCTTATGTTTTAATTGTGATATTTGTCTTTTTATTATTGAGTTGTTTATTTTAGATACAAGTCCCTTATCAGATATATGATTTGCAAATATTTTCTCCCATTCTGTGGGTCGTCTTTTCACTTTCTTGATAGTGACCTTGGAAGAATAAAAGTTTTAAATTTGGATAAAGTCCAATTTATCTATTTTTTCTTTTGTTGTTCTGCTTTTGGTGTTATATCTAAGCAACCACTGCCAAATCCAAGGTCACAAAGATTACCCCTGTATTTTCTTCTAGGAATTTTATAGTTTTACCTCTTATACCTAGGTCTTTGATCCATTTTGAGTTAATTTTGTATATGGTTTGAGGTAGAGGCCCAACTTCATTCTTCTGCAAGTGCCTATCCAGTTGTCCCAGCGCCATCTGTTGTTCTTTCCTCGTTGAATGGCTTTGGCACCCTTATTGAAACATCAATTTGATCATAAATGTAAGGGTTTATTTCCAGACACTCGAATCTATTCCACTGATCTATATGTTTATCTTTATGCTAGTACCAAATTTTCTTGATTACTATAGCTGAAATCAGGAAGTGTGAGTCCTACAACTTTGTTCTTTTTTGTTTGGTGAGGAAGATTGGCCCTGAGCTAACATCTGTGCCCATCTTCCTCTATTTTGTATGTGGAACGCCACCACAGCATGGCTTGATGAGCAGTGTGTAGGTCCATGCCAGGGATCCGAACTCATGAACCCCAGGCCACCAAAGCAAATAGTGCAAACTTAACCACTATGCCACTGGGCCGGCCCCTACAACTTTGTTCTTTTTCAAGACTGTTTTGACTATTCTGAGTCCCTTGAATTTCCATGTAAATTTTAGGAACAGCATGTCAATTTCTGCAAAAAAACCAGCTGGGGTTTTTATAGGGATCTGTAGATCAATTTGGGGAGTATTACCATTTTAACAATATTAAGTCTTCTGATCCATGAACATGGAATGTTTTCCATTTATTTGTGTTTTCTTTAATATCTTTGAACAATGTTTTATAGTTTTCAGTGTACAAGTCTTACACTTTGTTAAATTTATTCCTTAGTATTTTTTTCTTTTTGATGTTATTATAAATAGAATTGTTTTCTTTTATTTTTTGATTGTTCATTGCTAGTGTATAGAAATACCATTGATTTTTGGATATTTGTTTTGTATCCTGCAAACTTGTTATATTCTTATTAGTTCTAATAGTCTTTTCATGGATTCCTTAGGATTATCTATATACAAAACATGTTATCTGCTGGTTCTGGATAATTTTGCTTTATATATTTTGAGACTATATTAGGTATATACTTCTTTAGTTCTGTTACATATATTAGACACATGCTTCTTTAGTACTGTTATATTTTTCTGATGAATTGATCATGTTATAATTTCTAGTAATGTTTCTTGACTTAAATCTACTTTGTAGCTCTCTTTGTTAGTATATGCACAGCATATCTTTTTCTGTCCTAAGTTTTTTAATATCATTTTATGTAAGGAGTATCTCTTATAAACAGCATATAGTTGATATTTTAAAATCTAATATTATGTTCTTTGTCTTTTATTTCAAGTTTTAGTCATGCATATTTAATGTGTTCACTGATTAATTACATAAATATGTATACATGTATATATATACATATATATATTAGTTTAATCTACCTATTTGCTTTCTATTTGTTTTGCCTTTTCTATGTTAATATGGTATTCCAATTCTATATTCCATTTCCCCCCTTAGCTATTAATTATACATTTTATTATCTGTTTATTAATTGCCCTAGATATTTTAACCCACACTACCAACTTAATAAGTTACTAATTTTACCATTTTGTGGACAAAGCAAGGACAATAGAACACACTAATTCCATTTCCTTCTCTCTGTGTGCCACTGTTATAATTTATTTTAATTACATATAACATACATATTTTTAACCCCACAAGACATTAGTTTACAATCTCACAAGACATTAGACTTTAGATTATTTAGATTTACCTATGTGCTCTCCTTTTCCATTGTTCTTCACTTCTTCCAGCATCTACAGCTTTCTACGTGAGACAATATTCCTTCTACTCAAACAACAATCTTTAGTATGCCCTTTATTGTGTCTGCTGGTGACAAACTCTCTGATTTTGTTTGTCTGAGAATATCTTTATTTCATTTTATTTCAAAGGATATTTCTGCTGAGTATAGACCTCTAGCCTGGCAGTTTCTTTCAGCACTATAATGATACTGTTCAATTGTCTTCTGGCTTCAGTTGTTTCTGTTGAAAAGTTAGTTTTTAGTTTTATTGCTATTCCATTGAGGGAGATATGTATTATCTCCCTGGCTGCTTTGAACATTGCTCTGTCTTTGGTTTTTAGCAGTTATGCTGTGATGTACCTAGTATGTTTTCTGTATATTTATTCTTATTAGAGTTCATAGGACTTCTTAAATCTGTGACTTAATTTATTTCAACCATTTTGAAAAATTCCCAGCCTGAATTTCAAATATTGTTTCTTCCCCATTCCTTTTCTGCCCTCTTTCTGGGATCCCAATCACAACATGCGTGCGATAACTGGATCACTGAGTCTCATGTGTGTTTTATGATCTCTTCCATATTATTCATCCTTTTGTTTCCCCATGCTTCAGTCTGAATATTTTCTTCTGGCGTATCAGTTCTCTTGTTCTTTCTTTAGCTCTGTATAATCTACTGTTAAATCTATATATTTATTTCTTAATTTCACATATTGTATTTTTCAGTTCTAGAATTTTCTTTTGACTCTTTTTTTAAATTATAGTTTCCAGTTCTCTGTTAAAATTCTACAACTTGGCATTTTGTCTCTTCAGCATATTAATCATAGTTATTTTAAAGTCCACATCTAATATCTCCAGTATTTGGACCCTCTGTGGGCTTGCTTCTATTGTGGCATTTTTCTCTTTATTTCAGTCAAATCTTTTCTTCTTGTTTGTCTGGTTATTATTTTTTTTTTTATTGAGTACCAGACATCGAATTTGAAAAAATTTAGGAGATAATATGAGATCTAGGATGGTGTTATTTCCTTCAAGAGATAATTTACTTTTGCTTCTGGTAGGCAGCTAAACCTGGGCACTAGCAATCCCAGATCACCTTAATCCAACTGGGAATTGAGATGATTGGAATTTGGGCTTCAATTAGTTGGAGGACTAATCACTATCCAGGGTATACTTCTGTGCTCCAAGTGAAATCTTGGGTATTTACCAGTCTACCTCTCCTGGTCAAGCCCTGAATTCTACTTTTTTCTCCCCAGTCCTGTGAATCTGTCAAAAGTTCTGCTTAGTTTTTAGCCTCACTGAACCTATAATAAAATGTTATCTTTAGTCATGATCCGATGGTGAAATTTTTAAGAAGCCTAAGGGAGTTAGCTCTAGTCCTAGATATTATTTTTGTCCCTTAAGCACTCCTGTGATCATGTTCTTATTTATTAAAGGATGATAATTTCTACCACCTACTTTAAGTAATTAGTGTTTGAACCTCAAATTATATCGTAGCTAAATGTCAACCAATATACCAAAGTGCCAATATGTTCACTAAAGTAAACTGCAGTTGTTTAAAATATTAAGCAACAAGAACAGCCTGATATGGATTAATGAGAATTTTAAGAGTATAGTTCATATATAGAGTTTTTACATTATAAAAACATAACAAGTTCAAACATTTTTAACATTTCTAAATCTTGTAGAACATTTAGCAAAAACAAATAACAAATAAATATTTATACATACTTTTACATCCCATTTTTGTGAAAATGTTTTTCAGGTCAGGATCCTTAGCTTGTGATTGTACTCCACACACAAATATTTTTGAGGTATTATTATTTGTTAAGATTGACATGTGGGCAACTGTGTACCACGAACCTGTATTGACCATTAAGATATCATCATCCATATTTAATAAAGCCTTTACAGAATGGACAGCAAGACTTCGAGATTTGTCCTACAAGACAAGGGTATGATTAGAATTTCAAAGACTTTGACTAGAAGCATGAACTGACTTCTTTTTGCCTTAGGTAAAAGAAAGTACTTGGTAGGAATTTTGAAGAGATACCTAATCCATTTTAGTTTAAAGCATCTTAATATATGTTAAAATACAAAGTTAACAAAGATAACTGATATAAACTGATTTAAAACAAAGACCCTAACTTTGTTTAGCCTAAATTATGACTGTTAACTTTTTTTTCCCTCCCCAAAGCCCCAGTACATAGTCGTATATTCTAGTTGTAGGTCCTTCTAATTCTTCTTTGTGAGCCACCACCACAGCATGGCTACTGACAGACAAGTGGTGTGGTTCCATGCCCAGGAACTGAACCCAGGCCACCAAAGCAGAGCACACTGAACTTTAACCACTAGGCCATCAGGACTGGTTCTCATATAACTTTCATATAGTGATAAGGCAATGCCAAAATCCCAAAAACATGATTAATAGATTAATGATGTCCTGCCTTAGCTCCCATTCTTACTCCTTCATGATAACCCACTCATCTACTACTGGCATTCTTTCTTCCCCATTACATTGTCATCTAAATTGCTGCTAGTTCACAGATATTAAAAGTAAGATGGCTGACAAGCTTATAAAAGGGGGCTAGATAGATAGACTGGGTTTCTGCAGTTGACCTCAGTGCTCAATAGGATGTCACTGTAACATAAGGCCCAGAGATTCTGCCCAAGAATATGAGTGCAGTGAAGGGATAAACCTTAGAAGACCAAGGTGAATCTGAGGGAAGAATTGGAGTCTAAGGATGTAAAAATTAATTTAACTTAATTTTTTGGACCTTTTTTCATTCTATTGAAACCACATTGTACTTCACATTCTCTTCCTGCATTAATAGCCATTATACACCTCTTACAAATCAAAGATATGAGGCTATGTTAAAGAGATAATGGGGGGCCGGCCCCGTGGCTTGGCGGTTAAGTGCGTGCACTCCGCTGCCGGCGGCCCGGGTTCGGATCCCGGGTGCGCACCGAGGCACCACTCCTCCAGCCATGCTGAGGCCGCGTCCCACATACAGCAACTAGAAGGATGTGCAGCTATGACAGACAACTATGTACTGGGGCTTTGGGGGAAAAATAAATAAATAAAATCTTTAAAAAAAAAAAAAAAAAAAAAAAGAGATAATGGGAAAGTATTACACATTGCATTTTCAAATGCAGGATGCCACTAGCATCTTCCCCAGAAATGGAAGGAAGAAAAGGTATCATTGTACTTTCTCTTGAATCCTCCCTTGGGAGAGAAAAATATAGCATTTCACCTGCCAGCAATACAAGTCTCCCCATCTACGGAGTCTGGGGAGGAGAATATGTCCTCTACAACTTCACATGGGACAAAGATGCCAAAGTATAATAGGAACACTGATTGTAGAGGTATTAATTTTATTCAAGGTCAAAATTAGGCCTTATAAACCCCCCTCATAATCTATAAAAAATATAATCAGTTTGTTAGGTTTTACTTTGTATTTATTTATTGTTTTTTGGTGAGGAAGATTAGCCGTGAGCTAACATTTGTTTCCAATCCTCCTCTTTTTGCTGAGGAAAACTGGCCCTGGGCTAACATCTGTGCCCATCTCCTTCTACTTTATATGGGACATCTGCCACAGCATGGCTTGATAAGCGGGGGCATAGGTCCGCACCTGGAATCCGAACCTGCAAACCACAGGCCCCTGAAGCAGAGTGCGTGAACTTAACCACTATGCCACCAGGCCAGCCCTGTTAGGTTTTATTTTTAAGTGGAGGGATTCTTTGGGTAAGTAGGATTATTGAGAACCACAATGAATGTAAATGTTAATTTACCTGAAATATAAGTTTATAATCTTTGAAAAGATCTGTATTTAGAAGATCACTTTTAAGATGAGATGGGAAAATTAAGACATCATAGCAATGTTGGTCCACAGCAAAGACTTTATCATTAATATGCAATACAGATTGGACTTTATGATAGCCTTTTTTCTTCAAACTATGATAAACTTCTTCAGGGCTGTAAATATACAACATTATGTTGTAATTACAAATTACATTAGGTTTTATACATTAAAAATGTATTTAACACTAGCATGTTTTTCCTACAATAAATAAAAATATCACTGCATATATTGCATCTAATGGAACTTACAATTGTAGCCAACAATAAGTTAAAAGATAGAGACAGAAAAGTTAACATATTTATGTAACTACCTTTGGTAATTTGGTGATAAGATCCTGAACTAAACTATGATTCCCCAATCACTCTCCCAGATATGCCCCCCTCCATTAAAAAGGTAATATTTCTTATCATATTATTTTGAAAGGCTAGCGACTTGAAATATGAATAAAGAATTTGATTAAAATTCTTACCTGATTTTACAAGTATTTATCCAAGCATAAAGTGGCAAAGTGGAGGCCCTTAGTTCCTGGTTCCTAACTGTTTCTGGAAGAATGTGGTAAATTGAAAGGGCATCATGTTTGATTCGACATCTTGCCAATGCTGCAGCCAATTTTGTCTTAAAACTAGAGATAGAAAATCCATTCTTGGTGACTACTGCATTAAACACAAGACTATCAGTTTTCCACTGGAAATATTAACAAATTAGATTTAAATTTTTAACAAATCCTTTTATAATTCTATTTCAAATTTTTGAAGTCTAAAATAAAAATTTGCCATATTTGAAAACAGAAATCCAACAATCCTGCTTCCTTTTTTCAGTTTTTGTTGCCCCTGTATAGCTGTGCATCTCCTCAGGTATTCATATCAATTTCTGGTTGAGAGACAATTTTATGTAGGACTCAGAGTTGACAAATGTGAAGTTCACTTCAGGTTCTGTCACGTAGCAGCTGTGTGACCTCGGGCGTGTATGTTACTGAATCTCTTTTCTCAGCCTCTGTTTTCTCATCTATAAAATGTGGTCCACTTACTCTGCTATTAATGTGGTGATTACCAACCATGTGTGTAAAATACTTAGCACTGTGCCTGGCACATGGCAGCCACTCATTATAGGCTACTTATCATTACAGATGGCAACAGTATAGTCTTAACAAGATCAAGGAACTTTCAAGAATCTGTATCAAGTTCTTTCCAGTTCTGATTACCCCATGCCTCCAAGTTCCAAATAACAGAAAAGAAAAACAAGAACTGCTTAGCATCACCATGAGGACCCAATGATTTTTCTTGATCTCTTAGCCCAAATTTTTAATAAATAAGAATACAGAACTTGCTCTTGACCTATATTCATAACATTTTTACAGTAGGAATCTAATTGAATAATAAACCTCAAGGATTACCTTGAATGAGAAATGGGGAAGAGATGCCACAAAAAAGTCAAGTACAACCTGAGTGGTGTGTGTGGCTGCAGAAAGCTTAATAAGATTAAGCTTCTTATCTACTCAGCAGAATGAGGAACTTTCACCTAAGAATGTGTTTACGTATGAATGTGTATACACGCATGAGGGAGAGAGAGAGAGACAACACAGGGGCATTGGGGAGGAGAGGGAAGGGTTACCAAACATTGAGCCTTCTGGGGCTACAATAAAATTAGATATGTGTAGTGCTATATTCTAATGTCATAGAACTACAGGAGGGGACACTAAAAACAATTACATAATACATTAATGTACATCAAAGAATAAATTAATATAAAGGGGCTGAGTTACTGTTCTATATTATAAACTGTGAGATGTTTCTGAGTACAGACTATTTTTGATTAAACAGTTCTTCCAAATACCTATGTAGTTCAAACTTACCATAATAAATGCTATTAACTGTATTCTTCAATCATTAAATATAAAGATTAGAGTTATGAAGCCTAGAAAAATATATGTGTTGTGTATATAGAAAGAGTACAGGGAGAAATAATTTTCCAAATTTCCAGATAGCAAACATTTCAGACTGTGAATTTTAATACAAAATTTAATCACACAAAAGGTAATTTAAAGGATACTTACAGTTATAAAGATTTTTATATAAATATGCAATATCACATTGAGGACAAAGACCAAATCCAAATGCTATTAGGATAACCAGACATATTACTTCTGTAAATGAAATATCCCATAGTTACTAAAAAAACTTCTTCCATAGCTGTAAGGCGAACTGCACTGATGAAAATGGAAGCAAAAGTAGCCTTTCCCAGCATTCTGATTCAGAAGTCCATCTCCTGCTACAATTTGAATGTTATCACAGAGAGTTGCCAATTATCTCTTTTACCAGCATCCTGTTGTACACACAACCAGAGTTTTATTTCTATATGTTAAATTGTAATTATGTAATTCCTAAGCTTAAATTCTAAATGAACCAATTAGTTACAGGACAGAATCTAAACTCCTTATCATAATATACTAGGATATTAAAAATTTAACCTGAACCAACTCTTCCTTCCTCAATTCCCAACACTCTCGTCCATAAATCTATCTCTAGTTATACACTGAACTATTTGCTACTCCTGTAACATGCCACATGCCCTCTCCCTCTCCCTCTCTCTCCCTCTGTCTCTCCAGCCAGTATGGTTTGGTCTCTGCAATCAGATTACCTGGGTTCGATTTCTTTTTCCACCAATTTCTAGCTATGTGACTTTGATAAATTATTTAGCTTCTCTAAGCTCTGGGAATTAGGAATTAGTACCTTACTTACAGAGTTGTTGCAAAGATACTTTTGTATTTAAAGTCAGGCTATTCAAGAAATGATAATAATTAATATGTTTATTCTTTTACTACTATTAACCAAGTACTGTGATCAGACCTGGCTATAAAGATTAAAAGATAGTTTCTACCCTTAAGTAATTTATAATTTCGTGGTAAAACAGACATATAAACAAACAATTATAGCACAACATGATGAATGCTATAAGATACACAGATAAAGAAGAAAGTAAATATATTGGAAGAAGAACAAGAATTTAGCCCAAAGGAACTTCTAAGAGGAGGAGAAACTTGAGCTAACTATTAATGGAGGAACAAGAATTTTCCAGACCACAAAAGGAAAGAAGACACAAAGACAGTGGGCAGAGCACCACAAAGATATGGAGGTGTTGAACAGCAAAGCCTATTTACAGAGCATAGGTTGGTGAGAGATCCAGGGCTCAAATCACAAAAAATTTCTTATACACCATGCATAGGAAGTGGGAATTTTTTCTGCAGGAAATGGAAGGCCATTTAAGGGTAGAGAAATATAGTTAATCCACAAGCAAATATTTGCATTCTTTTTTTGTGTGTGTGAGGAAGATCAACCCTGTGCTAACATTTGCCAATCTTTCTCTTTTTTTTTTTGTTTTTTTTTGCTGAGGAAGACTGGCCCTGAGCTAACATCCATGCCCATCTTCCTCCACTTTATATGGGACGCTGCCACAGCATGGCTTGCCAAGTGGTGCGTCCGTGCGCGCCTGGGATCCGAACGGGCGAACCCCGGGCCAACGCAGCGGAGCGCGCGCACTTAACTGCTTGCGCCACCTGGCCGGCCCCCAAGTATTTGCATTCTTACTATATTCCAGGTACCGTTTTAGGTTCCAGAAACAAAGGAGTGAGCAAAGAAGATGCTGTTCCTGACATCACAGAGTGTAGAATCTGGTAGGGGGAGACAAAGCAATTCTTTAAAAAGGTCCTAAGTACTAATAACAAGGGAGGGCAGGCTGCTATGGCGGTATAAGGGAGAGGCACTGCTACAGGGGTCAAAGAAAGTTTCCCAGGATTTACATTTAAGCTAAGCCATAAGGGGAGAAGTAGGAGTTAGCCAGGAGTAAGGGAGGGGTGGGAGAAGAGCTGTCCAGTGTTCCAGGTAGAGGGAGCATCATATATGAAAGTTATCTGCCAATTCTGAAATATGTGCCTGAGAAGTTGAGACATATGCAGAGCTTACAATGACTCATGAGGCAGGGGAACAAAAATGGAAATTTGGAGCATGCCAAGTTTATGGAAAAGGGGCTCTGATAAAGTCCCAGGCTTTGGACTGGGTCACCAAAAGACAACCCCTGGAAAAGGTAAAAAGGAACCCCTGGCCTTCACAGGGACTGAAGCCCTGTGAACTTCTAATCATTTCAATCTCTGACTAGACTAGGTCACCTGGGCTTGTTAGTACCCAGGTCTAGCGGTTGCCTGCCAGTAGCAAAGTATATGCTGTGTCTAAAGGAAGATAACATCCTAGGTCTCAACTGAAATAAACTAATATTACATGTGATATCAAATTATACCTAATATAGTGTGTCCCAAGAGATTTTATATCTATAAATAATGGCAAAAAAAGTTATTCCCAATGTTTCCATTTACAGTAGAAACTTACTGGTTTGTATTCTAAGCACCCCTTCCCATCTGGGAATAGAAACTCCCCCCTTCTTGGGGCTGGCCCTGTGGCTTAATGGTTAAGTGTCCCCGGTCCGCTACTGGCGGCCCGGGGTTCGGATTCCAGGTGCGCACTGGTGCACCGCTTGTCCGGCCATGCTGAGGCCGCGTCCCACATACAGCAACTAGAAGGATGCGCAACTATGACATGCAACTATCTACTGGGGCTTTGGGGAGAAAAAGGAGGAGGACTGGCAATAGATGTTAGCTCAGAGCCGGTCTTCCTCAGCAAAAAGAGGAGGATTAGCATGGATGTTAGCTCAGGGCTGATCTTCCTCACCCCAAAAAAAAAAAAAAAAGAAACTCCCCCCTTCTGAAAGTGTCCCCCCCCCCACTCCATTCATATCATCTTCTTGGGAAGTATCCCTAACTGACTCTGTCTCCTTGGCCACAGCTGATTGGTCGAGGGTGGGTACTTGACCCACATTGGGGTCAAGCAATTTTTTGGGTGTAGCAACAGAGTCAAGCCAGTCTTTTTAGTCTTTGGTGCTATAAGATGTAAAGCTCCTGCGTTGTCAGCAGCCAAGTTTCCCATTCTGGAAACAAAGAAAGACGAAAGAATGAAGCCAAAGCACACAGAGAAGCAGAGACTAGAAGAGAGACTAGAGAGAGTCCTGATGATATTTTAGTCATAGGATTTAGTTAGCAGAAGCACAGCCACATCACTGCCCTTCCTGCAGTCTCAATGTTCAATTCTTCCATGAGATGCCTTATGATAAATTCTCCCTTTTGCCTAATCTAGTTTGAGTTGGGGTCCTGTCAGTTGCCAAAAAAGAATCCTAACTAATATACCATTTTCTCTTAGTTTATTTTTTAAAGAAATGAGTTTGGGGGCCGGCCCCGTGGCTTAGCGGTTAAGTGCGCGTGCTCCGCTGCTGGCGGCCAGGGTTCGGATCCCGGGCACGCACCGACGCACCGCTTCTCCGGCCATGTTGAGGCCGCGTCCCACATGCAGCAACTGGAAGGATGTGCAGCTGTGATATACAACTATCTACTGGGGCTTTAGGGGGGAAAAAAAAAATCTTTAAAAAAAAAAAAAAAAAAGGAATGAGTTTGGAGCCAGCCTGGTGGCATAGTGGTTGGGTGGGTGCACTCCGCTGTGGGCGCCCGAGGGTTCACAGGCTCAGATCCCGGGCGCACACCAACGCACTGCTTGTCAAGCCATGCTGTGGCGGTGTTCCATATAAAGTAGAGGAAGATGGGCATGGATGTTAGCCCAGGGCCAATCTTCCTCAGCAAAAAGAGGAGGATTGGCAGCAGATATTAGCTAAGGGCTAATCTTCCTCACAAAAAAAAAAAAAAAAGAAGAAAAAAAGGAAATGAGTTTTACTCCTTTTTGGCTTCAAAATTTTCAGAAATTTTATTTAACAATGAATAAAATAACTCAAGTTTTTGAATGCCATTACTAATGCCTAACACATTCAGAAATGTGGTTCTCTTTAAATATAAACTGAATATTTTCTTAATGCCAAAAGATAATCTTCAATGAACTGCTTGAATTTCCCATAAAAATATAAAATCAGACATCGTACTGACAGCTGTTTCAGATTATTCACTAAGTAAGTGAAATAGGCTAAGTGTTTCCAAAGAAGAGGTGGAGAGAACATGAGAGACAAAAACTCATGAACAAGTGTTTAGGGAGCATTTTGGCAAATGAGAAACTCGGAAGCATTATGGGGAATGAAAGAATTGGAGGAGACAAGAAAAGGGATATATCCGAGCAAACGTGACTTACCCCAGAAATACATGGTTGGCTTAACATTTATAAAATCGTTCAACGTAAATTACCCTACCACATTAATAGAATAAAGAAGAAAAAACAGATGATCATTTCAGCCTTCCAAAACTTTGATCTCTGTTTTCTTAACTTAGCAAGACAACCAATTTCCCCTTGGGATTCCCCTGCCTGCACGGCAGTTGGAAAGTACCTCTAGGCATAAAGCCAGGACTACTCTAGGGCTCGCCTCACTTGTTTTTGTTCTCCCAGGGATCAAGTTTCTGTGCTGCTTCTTGTCTAACGTCCAAAACCTTTGCCTCATATATTTTGTCCAGTTTTCTAGTTATTTACAGTAGGAAGTTAAGTCTGATCCAAGATACTCTCTCATGACCATATAATTACATTTTAAAAATATCACTCTACTGCCATATGGAATGGATTGTGGGAAAGTAAGAGTTAGAGGCAGGGAAACCAACGAGGAGGCTATCGCAGTAGTCCAAGTGACAGATTATGGTGGCTTGGATTTGGATGGTAGTAATGGAAATGGAAAGAAGTAGATTTAGCATATTTTCCAATTGGAGTTACAGGACTTGATGCATTAGGTATGGTATGGGCGCAGGGGAGGGGAAGAAAGAATCAAGGATGATATCTAGGTGGAGAGTGGTACCTTAGCTGTAATGTGGAGACTTCAGGATGAATAGTTTTGGGTGGTTTGGGAGGATGGACTACTAAGTCCTTCCCCTCCTGCTGCCTCTCTAGACTCTCACTGCCTATTCTCCAATTCTGCTTCACAAAAGTCCAACAAATTATTTGGCAGAAACAGATTCTTGGACTAGAGTGAGGGCATGGGGAGTGAGAAAGAAGAGGCTGTGGCCTCTTTTTTTTTTTTTTAACTTAGTCACATAGTTTTAAGAAGATAGTTGCATTTTATACAAGGAATGAGTTCTTAAAGACCTTGCATGTCAAAAATGGTAATAGGTGTCATCTTGGACTATATCTCTAAAGCCATGAGTAAATGAAGAAAAAGATACAAATTGGTACATACAGGGATAAAACACAAGGATCCCTGGTAGAGGCAACAGTAACAAAGGTCAAACACAATTTTCATGAGGAGAAAATCATTCTCATTCAATTTCTAGCTAAATAATTACCTCTTCCTTTATCACCTCTTAAAATTAGTCTTTATCCCCGCAGTAGAAACATACTAAGGTATATGCCAAGTTTTCAATGATTCTACTTCCCTGGGAACAACAGTGCCCAGCCCCAAGCCGCAGAAGATCTGCAGGGGTTGGCTTCCAGCAACCTGTTTGAGTTCAGAATCCCACTTGATTGGCTATGAAGAATTGGCCCAAGGGAATGCACCTGATCCACATGGAACCAATTAAGTTCCTGGGGGATTTAGAATTCAGAATTGGGATGTAGAGATAATAAGTTAGTCTAGGTGAAGAAACTAAGATACAACTGTAACATGTAAGCTCGGGAACTGGGGTGCAGCAGTAGGGCTTTTCCCATGTAGACTAGAGAAGCAGAGAAGGCAGATCTGCAAAGAAAAAGAGAATGAAGCAGATACTGAGAGAAGCCAAGATAGAAAGATAAAGAGATAAAGTCCTGACATCTTTCCAGTTCCTGATTTCATTTCCTTCCTGAGTCCTTGAGTTGCAAGAGACATCCCAGTATAAGAATATTTTTCATTTTTGTTCAAGTTAACTGAAGATGGCTTCTACTACTTGAAAACTAAGACTCTTGATTAAAACCCTTTGGCATTATCTTTTTTTTTTTTTTTGTGAGGAAGATCAGCCCTGAGCTAACATCCATGCTAATCCCCCTCTTTTTGCTGAGGAAGACTGGCTTTGAGCTAACATGTGTTGCCAATCCTCCTCCTTTTTTTCCCCCAAAGCCCCAGTAGATAGTTGTATGTCATAGTTGCACATCCTTCTAGTTGCTGTTATGTGGGATGCGGCCTCAGCATGGCCGGAAAAGCGGTGCGTCGGTGCGCGCCCCGGATCCAAACCCAGGCCGCCAGTAGCAGAGCGTGCGCACTTGACCACTAAGCCACGGGGCCGGCCCTTGGCATTATCTTTATACGTATATTTTCTCAGCACTGCTCTACTATTCTCTGCAATTCAGTCACTAAATACAAGCATTTCTTCTATAGCACATTATGAATTGAGTACAGTATGAATCGGGTATAATACAACTGATTAATTTGGGAATAAGATCTACATTATATGAGTCTCTGTTAGTTTGGGTAGGGGGAAAAACTTGCACCGACAAGAGTGTAACCAGATATGTGTCAAGGCAGGATGTAGCATGGTGTGTATTAGGGAGAAAGGGGAAAATCTGGGGAATCAGGAATCCTTAGACAGTAATATCTTCTGGTTCCTCTGGCCTCCTGATCCCTGGCCTTTGCTTGTCCTATTCCTACCTGCCTTGCTAGCATTCTCAGCTAAAATCTGCTGCTGCTGAAACCATAGTCTGGTCTTTCTTACTTGGTTAGAGCCCTGTGGGTTTCCTGGGTGACTCAGTCTAACTTCAGCTCTCATTAGCCTCTCCGAATCTAAGTTGAGACTTCCATGAAAGTCTCCTAAGTCAAACAGAAACTGAGAGAAGCTCAGAGAAGCTGAAACTCAGAGCCTGTCCCATAGCATACTGCCCTACCGATTTTTCTCTGATGTATCTGTGCCCCTCCTGGGAGGCAGGCTGCCCAGTGTAGGTATGGGCAGTGAGGTGGTTGCCCAGAAACCCATACAGTAAACAGGGGTGAGATCCTTACTTTTCTAACACAGATGGTACATAGATCTGATTGCTTTTGCTCTTCTCCATCCCACAGTTTCTCATGGCTGTGACTGACATGAGATATGACTATGTCATATTTTTAATCTTCTAGAGTACTTCAGCCAAGCCTCACTATCCTAAGTGGAAGGAGTGGTAGCATATAAATGGTTAAAGCTTGGGCTCTGAGTCAGACTTCCCCAGTTTGAAACCTAGCTACTCCCCTTTCTAGCTCTTTGGCATTATTCCTTTACCCTGTCTGTGCCTCAGTTTTCCCATGTGTAAAAATACAGGTTGGTAACAGTAGCCACCTCATAGGGTTGTTAGAGCTTCTTATAACAATGACTGATGCATATTAAGTGCTCAATAAATGTAAGATATTATTATTACTCCACTACCTGAGTCCTCTGGTTTCAGCCTTCAATAATTTAAGTGAAATTGATCGAATTTCCAATAAAAATACAAAATAAAAATATTTTATAAAAATATAAAATCAGATATCATATTGACAACTGTTTCAGGTTAATCATTAGGTAAAAATCTTCTTGCAAGATTATTGTTGTTGCTATACTGTAATTTCTATAAAAGTTCAACAACATAATAACAGAAGCCCTAACAACAGTAGCACTTAACATTTATTGACCATTTACTATGTGTCTGGCTCTAAGCTAAGCATTTTACATGCATTAGTTTAATTAGTTCTCCCAACCACCCTTTGAGGTAGATACTATTATTATTCCTATAGTAGATTTCTGCTGATATTTAGGGTAAAAAGAAAACAAATTTAAAACATGTTTATTCTCAACTATGTAGAAGTATTTTTTTAACTTGGCAAAGTAGTGTGTTCTTGTCTACTGTTGGAATTTTCTCATTTGATACACATCAAATTTTTAGAGCTGTAAACAAAACTAAGTAAATAAATAATAGCTGTTTCAAGTAAAGTTTATATATGTCCTAAAAATTATTAGGAATTTTTCATTATTTTACACATGCTTACAAGTTGGATCTTACAACTCAAGTTTTCAACAGATATGTTGATTTTAAACAGTATATTTAACCTGTTCAAGACTGTAAAGGAACTCAAGAAACTTAACTTTTGTATTTTTTCTCTGAAAATTAAGACTTATCTATACATTATACTGTATACAAGTTTACTAATGAAAATACTAATAATGATTTCATATAAAACATCCTTTTCACTTTTATAATTACCTGATAAGAAGGTTCTCTACTTCTTGAACTTCTGCTATGGACTCTTCATTATCAGAAAGGAAACGAGCTTGAAATTTTCTATCTTGGAAATCATACAGCATCACAATAATAAGGCTGCTCAAATGATCTGGCTACCAAGGGGAAACACACATAAAGAAAAGTATACAAACAATATCTCATAGCAATATTTTCCATTCCATTATTTTTCATAAGAGAGCAGGAATATGAACATTTTTACATAGTCTGAGATAGAGAAGATCTTTGAAGTAGAAAAAAATCCAGTAAAAAATAAACCTTTTGAAAAAGACAATTTTCGATATGTTCATCAAAATGAAAGGACAAGGGGGGCCGGCTCGGTGGTGCAAGCGGTTAAGTGCACGTGCTCCCGGGGTTCGCCGGTTCGGATCCCGGGCGCACACCGATGCACTGCTTGGCAAGCCATGCTGTGGCAGCGTCCCATATAAAGTGGAGGAAGATGAGCACGGATGTTAGTCCAGGGCCAGTCTTCCTCAGCAAAAAAAAATGAGGAGGGTTGGCAGATATTAGCACAGGGCTGATCTCCTCACAAAAAAAAAAAAAAAAAAAAAAATGAAAGGACAAGGGTCAATATTAGAAGCATTAGAAGAAAGAGTTAAGGATGTATTTTGAAGAGGTCTCAGCACTATGCAAACTAGTTATTTAAATGTGAAGGCATTTTAATAATTTCTAAATAACAATTATGAGACAGCTAATTATATAAAAGTTGTCTACTTACTATTGTGGTACTTGGAAAGATAAAGCTGTCTATTAATATAGTTTCCAAAATATCTTGATCTGCAAGACAAGGAAAATGTTACTGAAAATATCAAAGCTGAAAATGAAAACTTTGGAATCAAAATATACTTTAGGCAATGCCATAAAGTACTTTTAATTTCATGTCTGAAATATACCTCAATTCTTGATAAAGATTTAAATTACAATGACATGATAAAATATTTGTAATCTTTATGAATTCTGGACCCTTATGACCCAGGCTCCACATGGAATCATAATCAAAGGAGCACTATCTGAATAGTCAAAGTAGTAATAAAGGAATTCCAACCTTTAAGTTATGTCCTTTGAAAAACACTAAAAAGGATCTAATTTATAATGTCTTATCCTTTTTATGTATTGGTGGATTTGACTTTCTAATATTTTATTTAGGATTTTTGTTCTATGCCTATGTGCATGAGGGATGTTGGTCGATTTTTCTTTTCTTATAATGTCCTCGTCAATGTTGGTATCAGGGTTATGCTGGCCTTAAATGAGTGGGAAGTGTTCCCTCTTTCTCTATTCTCTCGAAGAGTTTGTGTTAGATTGGTATTATTTCTTACTTAAATATTTGGTAGAACTCACTAGTGAAGACATTAATAAGATGACATTTAATCTAAGACCCAAATGACAACGAGTTAGCCATGTAAAGATCTGGGAGGAGAGAGCATTCCAGGTGGAGGGATAACTGCAAAAGTACTAAGTGGACACAAGTAGACGTACTTTAAAACCTGCATAGGGTGCATGAGTGTTCCTTTTCTTATAACTACTTACTATACGTACATCATATAACAAATGCTTTAATCAGTTGAACAGAAAGCTACGCTAGCTTCAATTCATTCAACACTTATGGAAAATCTACTATATGAACAGTACACATTGAATTTCAGTTTTTATTTGGGGGATGGGAAAAGTAAAAATAAGTGACTAACTTGGGAAGCACATCCAATTTTCATAGGAAATCCTTTGGGAATCATTATCCATATTTTAGCCAGTAACTACGGCTGTATTACACAAGGCAATCTCTCCATTTCACTTACAAGGAAAATGAAGTTTAAGGTTTCACACCTCAGTACTTGCAAACCAATTCCTATCTACTTCATAGTAGAGCATGAGTCCCTGTCTACTTCATAGATGAGTATGAGTCCCAATTTTTGTCACAGAAAATATAGTCAACATAATAATGATGGACTTTTAAGATAGCAGACCTGCATAGGCTGTAGAACTTCGAGCAATAGTAGTGCTGGAATCCTAAGAAATAGAGGCAGGATGAAGGAAAATAAGACAGAACGCGATTTTGCCAACAGTGCATTTTTTTTCTACGGCTCTTGTCAAAACTGATATCATCTTTGGGCTGCCTTTGATATTGTGCAGAATGCCTTTGTATATCTACAATTTACATAGCATTCTCAGTAATATCAACATTAATAATATATACAGTCACGTGTTGCTTAACGACGGGGATATGTTCTGAGAAATGGGTTGTTAGGCAATTTCGTCGTCGTGTGAACATCATAGTGCACTTACACAAACTTAGATGGTATAGCCTACTACACACCTAGGCTATATGGTACTAATCTTATGGGACCACCAACATATATGCAGTCCATCATTGAGCAAAATGTCATTATGCAGCACATGACTGTACTTTAGATAGTGCTTTCTATGAGCTAGACATTGTTCTAAGTGCTTTCCGTAGATTCATTCATTTAACCCTCATAACAACCCTATGAATTAGGTACCATCATTATCCCCATTTTCTGGATTAGGAAATGAGACACGGAATGTAAGTAATATGTTCATAGTCAGACAGCAAGTGGCAGATGAGGGATTCAAACCCAGGCAGTCTGGCACCCAAGTGCATGCTCTTCATCACAACCTTATGCAGCCTTTCCTCATCTTGCTCTTACAACAAACCAGAGTGGCTAAATAAAACATACTGCTAATGCCCAATTTGTGTTATTGGATTTACTTGAGGATTGCAAACCTTGCCTATCCTAGTTGAGCACAATAGCCCCAATTATCTCTAGTCCCCCACTAATTAGACTCTTCCCTTTAGTCCGGTGAAGGGAATTCTTAATCTCCATTCTTCATGTTTCCAATGGGAAGGGCATTCCCTAGAGAAACATTCCTGGATTCTCTTCCTACCCCTTACTCACCACTCCCTAAGAAAGGAAAATTGAGTTTATTTGGTGAAATTGGAAGAAGGAACTGGGGCATATCTTCCTGCCTCCCCCTTTCCTCTCTTCCTCTCTCTCTCTGCCAGCGTCTCTGCAGGAGGCGTGCATGCATTCCAGGAGGCTCTTTACTATGTGCCTCATGTGAGTTGGGGTGGAGGGGTCTGCCACTCTTCAGCTGTGCCATGGATTAGATGGGAAGTTCTAATTCAGAAGTATTTGCAAGCCTATTTGACTGGAGATCTAAAGCCATGACCCCAAACCTCTTTTTTCTCGCTCTCAACTGGTCCCAAACTCAAGTGTAAAGGAGGAGTGCTCTTTATCGGACTCCTAAAACTCACATAGTCCATCTGGTCATCCCTCCGATTCTGGGAGAAAGATGGGAGATGTTTCTTTTTTTTGACTCTCCCCTACATTCTCCCTCTCTATTTTTATTATGTGTTCATAGAGTTTCCTTCATATGATTCGCTTCATATGATTCACTTCTAGAACCTTCACTTCAAGAATCTCAAGGTCCTCCTATAATTATAAATATAGGTATATAGAGGTTTTGTATGTGTGGAAGGAGGGAAACTTGACAAAATTATCGAAGTCTTTTTGGCAAAACTAGTAAGCATAGCCAAAAATATTTTTGAAAGAGTATTTGAGAGAAGTAGATACTAGGGAAAAGAAGCTGGCATCATCAAATACAAAATCATTATACGGTTAAAATAAAACAATGTGGACCATAACTAGAATTAGGATGAGGGTTGCTATTCTACCACCCTTTCAACTAGATGAAACACTTCTTTTTATCCTTCTTCCTGCTTGGTTCCTTAGGTATATCATTTAATCTCTTCTTGAGCTTTTCTCAATTTTCTCATCTGCAAATAAGAATCTTCCATCTCAAAAGACTGGTATATCAAATTATATAATTGTTTTGTGAATTACAAAGAGCTATGTAACGTATTATTATTGTCACTCAAGAGAATTGCTTGAACCTCTTAGGTGACAACCAGAGCTTAAGAGGTTGTTGATCTAGATCATTTTCCTAATGAATCATTGTGCAATCAAGAATTAACTTAGCAGGCCTGGGTGGCCAAACCCTGCACATTCTAAAGAAAAGCTTGGCCCTCTACGAGCTCTTGGGAGATGACCTCTAAGCCCTTGGAGTATCTTGCTGATCAAACTGTCTTTGTTTACTTGGGGCCTTGGGCCACACAGTATAAGCTTGACTTCTGGAAAAGCTAGAGATTGAGTAAGGTCAGCCATGAGGGTGTTCCTTGTCTACATGACTGACCTCCCAAATAAAAATCCCAGACAACAAGGCTTGGGTGAGGTTCCTTGGATGGCAATACTTCATTTGTGTTGTCATCCATCATTGCTGGGAGAATTAACCACTGTCCATAATACTCCATTGAGAAAAATAAAATAGGAAGCTTATACTTGGTCCCTCCTGGACTCTGTCCTATGGTGCTGAATTTAATCTCTATCCTTTCACTGTAATAAACTGTAACCATGAGTATAACAGCTTTGCTGCATTCTGTGAGTCCTTCTACTGAACCTGAATCTTCTGAACCTTCTACTGAACCTGAGGGGGCCCTTGGGGACCCCTGACTACAATTACTAATTCCCAAAGTCATAACCAAACCATACATTAAGCATTTTCTAGGTTTTTCACTGACAGTTACATGATTATGAAATGACCAGGTTAATGCCACAGCCAGTTCCTGGGACTGAAAATTCACCAATTATGATTATATACCTAGAGAGGCTGGAGGAAGAATTAAGCCAGGAATAAGATCAACAATTTCAGGGACATCTCTTTCCTCAAGTTTTTTTTTTTTTTTTTTTCTTTATTTGTTGTTCATTAATTTATTTTTTAAGAAATCATTTTCCCAGTTCTTTCTTCTGTTTTAATATTTAGTATGCCTTGAAACATCCAGAGATTCCTTGAAAAAATAAATTAGCTGCTAGTATTCTGCTTCTTTGACAGAAGTCAAACTTAATAAGAATAGACTACTCTTCATTACCTTCTTCAGCAGAAAATTGACCTTGGGGTTATTTAGTAAAGTGGGACTAGTGGTTGTCTTCATTTCAAAAAATATTATACCGAGTCCTTTAAATCTTTAAAAGGTTAATCAGATAAATAGTACACTCTGCTTTGAAAGAGCTTATACACAAAGGATATCAACAAAAGAGCAAACAACAAAACTGAAAAACATAAAATACAACCAAAGGAATACACTTAACATTTGTATAATTAAGAGATTTTCTTTGTCATTTTTCCTTTGTACTTCCTCAAAAAAATATGGTAATGTGATCTAATTAGCTGTTCACAAATTCACCAATAAAAGGGATCATTACCCAAGCTTTCTTTAGTTTGTACACTAACCTTTTCAGCTTTACTGCTCCTATAAAACCTTAAGGAGGAATCCTGAATTTTCTTTTCTGAACCATGGACTCCTTGAACCTATACTGTTAAGCTAGATGTGAGTTTATAAAATATTACATGTGAAAGTATTGATAGAACACTAATAATACAGAAGATAAAAGTGAAAGGCACAAGGGCCTCCAATATTTTAAAGCAAAATATTAAAAGATATCATAAGAAAATAATACTTGTACCAAGTAAACAACCAAAGCCATCTTATTTTAGAATTTGAACTCATAAAATGAACATTTTAAGGAAAAGCATGTTTGTAAAGGCCTATGACAATAATTTATCTGAATGGGACATCAAATAGTCCCAAGACCCTTTCATAAAACAGAAATAAAGATGGAGAGAAAGAAAACGATATACCAGACATATCACTATAGCATGACCATCTAGTTAGTGCATTAATTTTACAAAGAAGAATTTCAGGCTTTTATTCTTGATTTATAAAGGTAAGATTCAATACTCTATTAGGGAAAAAAAAGTCTATAATAGAGTTTTGGCATTAACATTAAATACCAACTAATCAACATAGATGCCCCGTCTGCATTTCATTGTTGCAGGGAGAAAATGTTAAAATGTCATTTGATTCATTATTTAAAGTGCAACACTTTGGTTAGTGTTTAAAACTACATTTTAATAAGGGGGTGAAGGAAAGGGATGAAACAGAATCTGAAAGATTAAATTGGAGGAGGAAAAACGGTTAAGATAGATTTAAAAAGAAAAAAAAATCACAAGCAGGAAACAAAGATGAAAACTAAAGAGAAGTTCACTCAACATACAAATTTTTCTCTGTGATGACAAATACCTGTCTTCGGAGTTTACCTATGTCATCTCTGCAGACAACCAAAAATATATATTCATGTCTAAATAACTAATGAGACATTCAGTCTAAATAACTGAACAATTTTTAACTGCCTATGTGCAAGGATGTGCAAGTCCCAGTAAGAACTAATACTAAGAAAATACGCGCAAATGAGTGTTGCCCTTTCAAGGTGTCTCTTTAGGAAGCCATATGCTCACACTGCAGCCATGCTGCTAAGACTCCAAACATTTCTGGAATTTCTTTTCGGAACAATATTCAGTCAGTTTACAAACAAATTGAACTTTATAGTTTATATTATAACATACTCTATTATATTATAGTTTATAGCTAATACAAACACAAATGTCTTCAGGCCTTTTGGTCTCACAGTAACAATATTTGGTTCTGTACTAGTCAACTCCCCACTCAGAAGTTGATAATTCACCACCACTGAGGGAATCGGAAACATTGCATCTCAAACCCTGGAGGCAAGTGAGAAATGGAAATTAGACAAGTTTGGAGAAATAAATTTACAAGCTCTCCAAATTAAAGCTATTGTCCATGAATGAGATCATCTTCATAGGGGTTGATTTTGATATTCATTTTTAATATGTTGCACCTTTTCTTCTTATTCCATCTCTGTTCCTCTCCCCCACCCTCTGATTGGTTTTTATATTTGTGAAAGTTCATACATTAAAATACAAGATGTAAACACAGAGAATGAAAAGAAAGATTATAGTTTCCAAGGAGAGGACACTATAATCGGATACTTCAATGGATTCTTGTTCTTCCGCTAGTGGAATCGTTTCCTGTTCAGTTTAATGATTGTGCTTTACAGCTACGGACAAGGCACAGTGCTAGGCACGGGGAAATCTGCAAGTGACAAACACTTCTGACCTGAAACAGCTTGTTTTACTGGAACTTTCCTAATTCCTCGACATTTGCAAGTGACCAAAGATAGGCATATTCATAAAAACAAAACCTGGTGTGTATGAGGGGGCGGGGAGGGGGCTGCACTCCACAAATTCTCTCGTTATCATTTTCCTTTAGCGCTGATCTTCAAGACTGGTGCTACTCACACTTCAGGGCACTGAAAGCCAGCTCATAGGACAAACGCTGAAAGGATTCATCTTTCGACTCGGACAAGGACCGCAGGGGCTCATTCCCATACTTTATTAAGACCTTCTCTGGTGACTTTTCGATTCGAATACCCTGAAAAACGTTCGCTGCCATAACGTAAACGGAGTCCGGATAGCCAGTTTTCTCGGGTGCACCAGTCGAGCTTTTCTCGCTGGATGCTTCGTCACCTGACAGTGCCAGGGAAGCGAATTGGGAGATGTCCTCCGTATTGTTTTCGTTCGAAAACTCCAGTTCACTTGCGGAGTTCAGCATGTTTGCCCCTTGACTGTCGTCGGGAACTCAAGCTTGAATTACAATCCAGATGTGCCCGGAAATGGTTTTCCTTGTACCTTAAGCATCGTCTCTGTGAAAAGAAAAGGTTATCTCGGTAAATCACGATTTCCGCAGGACCGCACCTGGCGGCCCATTTCGCTGTGGCCTTAAAGACTCAGAGGTGGCATTTACTGGCCAATCCGAGCATCCCATACTTCGAGCCGGGCAAACCCCCAAGAAACCTCCATACACTCGAAAAGGGAGAGGCGTGGAGACGGCTCGTGAGTCGCCGCAGAAGCGACGAGACTCTTCTCGATTGGGGGCAGGGCTCTCCAGTGAGCCGCGTCTGCGGCCCTCGGGCGCCCCTTTCACCGGCTCCCGCCAACCTCCCTTACCCAGAGGGCCGATGGTTCCCGGGGCTTGGGGGTCGGAGACGCGGCAGCCGCTGCACTTCCGGCACCGGCGGCTGGTGTCGGAAGCAGTGCCCTCGGGAGCCGCGGGGCGGTGGGCTGCGAAGGCCGTTTGGTTCAAACGCAGCCTCTCCCACCGGCCGGATTCGGGGCAGGGGGTGGCGACTCCCGGCGCTCGGTGCGCTCCGGCCCTCGGAAGGAGGGGGCGCCTCAGGACCTCGCCTGGCCACGCACAGTCGCCCTTCGCGGACGCGGCTGCGGAGCCGGGTGGAGTCCGAGACAGGGGACCCACCGGCTGAGGCCGTGGCAGGGCAGACCTTCCCGGCTTCTCCCAGGCCACCGGGCCTCGACCTGGGTCTCCATGGCAACCGAGTGGCGGCGCGGACGCCTCCCGGGAGCCGTTCCCGCGGGATTTGGCCGGGGCCGCCTCTCGCTCGCGGAGTTGCTCCTCCTCCTGCGCCCCGGGACACCTGTGCCAGCCCCTCCTCGAGGTCGAAAGCAGCTTGCCAGTTGGACCGCGCCGTCCTGAGGGGCTTCGACTTCCCCAGAATCGCAAGTGGCTGTGTGGTCTCCTTAAAAGCAAGAATTTTGTGTCGCTGACAACACCCAGCTTAGCGAGTTTAACATGGGCGCGGGAAACGTTAAAACAGATGAGTGTAGAACTACTGAAGAAAAGGAAAGATGAGCCGTGCTTTTTAGAACAATAGACATCATCCTAGACGGACTCTTCCAGAGCAAGTTGTGTAAAGATCTTTGTCAAGTGACGACCGCATCCCTCCTTTCCAGGAGTTGCCCGCAAAGAAGATGTTGCTGAAATGGACTTAGAAACGAAGAAATTCGCCACGCCCTCCAAATTATAGAAGGGAACTGGGAACCCCCAAAGGGCTTTAATATGGCTACTGTAGTTTTTGAGAGCCCGAGAGCAAAATCTACATCCTAATACATCAGGAAAAATCAGCTGTGCTGATTTTTAAACATAGTAGAAAAATACTTTATTAATTTCTAGAATAAAATCAAATAACTGAGATTTAAGCCTTCTATTGAGTTTATGTGAATTTTAAGCACTTCACTGATGGCCTTTTTACCTATTTTATTATCTCCAAAGTGCATGTTCTAAAACTGAAAAGGAAAGGAAAAGATTGCTTTTTCTCTAATGTATACCATTTATATTGCTACTTTGAAACTTCTGCACCAGATTTCCATAGGTCTGGTAATTAATGATTTTAATGCCAGACAGAATATGTAGAGCCTTTTTGTATAATACACTTTAGCTTCTGTTACAGTAAAATTCCATGAACTAATGCTAATGTGAATACATAAAGGTGGTATGATGAAAAGTAACATATATGTACTTCGCATTTCTTGCCTAGTTTAGAAAAGCCTTCTGTAGTAGTAAATAAGTCCTAGAGCTCTAATGCACAGTATAGTGAATATAGACAACAATATTGTATAGTAATCATCAAATTTGCTAAGAGACTAGATCTTAATTATTCCAACCACAAAAAAGATATGATAATTATGTGACATGATAGAGGTGCTGTCTCTACAGTGACAGTCATAAATGTATCAAATCGACATATTGTATACCTTAAATGTACACAGTGTTATATGTCAAACATTTTAATAAGAAAAGGAAAAGCCTTTCGTAAAATAAAATTGGGCATTGGATTATGGAAGAAAATTGGCAAATTGTGTTTCAAGTTTTAAGTGAAAAAAATCAACATTTTGTTGATGATAATATCTATTTTTAAAAAATCTGCTAGATACTTTGTCTCAATTTTCTCCATAAGGCAAAAGACACCAAAGACTGCAAATTGAGTGAAGTTCTTAATTCCGGGCTGAGATCAAAGTCATATGGAAAGCTTGCAGATGTAAGCCCCAAACTCAGCAAAAAGAGTGCTAAATATGCTTAAGAGTGAAATAACCCTAGAGACCCTACTGCCTACTGGTTGGGAATCTCAGAAATTTGTCCAACTTCTTTGTAGAAGTGGTCCAATCTGGAAAACAAACATAATTTACATATTCACTAACATCAGTTATGATCACTCAGGGATTTTAAGTTGTGTTCACTAGCCCTTCCCTCGGTGTGTTAAACAGAAAGGATAGACTTTGGCATTTGATAAACTCACATCTGTGTAACCTTAGGCAAGTCCTTAACAGCTCTTGGCCTCAGTTTCTGCATCTGTAAAGTGGAGACAGTCCTTCCTCCCTTAGAGGATATCTGTGAAGATTTGTCAGATGACAAGTGGCAAGAACAGTGTCTGGAAAGTTGTAGGTGCTCCGTTAACTGTTAGCTCCTCCTTTCCCCCTCTAGAAGTTTTATTTATAAAGCACCTTTTCAATCTTTAAATCTTAGAAAGTGTGAGATTACAGAGAAAGCTAGCCTGCTGAACTGGCATCTGAAAGACTTTTACTAGAGTCCATGTGCTTGGCTTCATTTGTAAAAACAGAGATATTTTTGAGATAGACTGGTAGAGTTCAGTGGTTTTCAACTTGCAAGCACTAGAAGTCTTTGTTAAAAATGCAAACTCCTAGAAGCCATCCCCAGAGATTCTGAGGAAGTCTGGGGTGGAACCCAGGAATTTGCAGTTTTAGCAAGTGACCCAGGTGATTTTGATGCAGTCAGACCAAAGATCACAGTTCAAGAAACTCAGGTATAATTCAAAGACTACTGGTTCCAATTCCACCTCTGTCTCTGACTTGGGAAAGTCCTTTAGCTTCTCTGGATTTCTGTTTCCTCTCCTACAAAAGTGATTGATTATCCTGGCTTATTTTACATGTGAGTTGTGAGATTTTAATCTTCTTTTCACTCTCCAGCATGCCCACCATGCAGTATCTTCTGGTCTACTGGGAAAAATCCAAACCTTCCAGCAAGGCAGATGGGGTCCTCTCTGACCTTGCTGCCTTTTCATCTTCATTGCTGGGCATCATAAAGCCATTCCCCAAACTTCCATATCTTTACGCATGCTGTTCCCTGAGTCTTGAAAGCCCTTCATTTTTTGTCTACCTGGTGAACATCTACTCAAACTTTGAAACTCAGTGCAAGCGTCACCTCCATAAATCCTTCCTGACACTTGTATTAGTTGGAATCTAAATTTAGCCACTGCGACAGAGACCCAAGATAACCACTGGCTTCAGCAAAACAGAAGTTTATTTCTCACATGAAGTCCTGTTGGCATAGTGGCTGTCCTCCACAGAGTTGTCTGGGACCCAGACTCCTATTTTACGCTGCACATAAGGGCTTTGCCCTTGTCAGCCTAGACCCAGATGGCTTACCACCATGCCCATTTCCAGCCAGTGGTTAGGGGATACAGAGGAAAAGGAGGGCATGCCCATTCCTTTCAAAGACATGACCTGAAAGGTGGACACATCACTTTTGTTCACCTTCCATTGGCTGGAACCTGGTCACATGGCATACCTAGCAGCAAAGGGCGTTGGTAAATGCGTCCAGCTAGAAATCAAGGGAACTATTGCTATAGAAAAGGAAAGAATGGATATTGGGGAACAATTAGCAGTCTCTGCTAGAAATCATTATCCCCTGACCTCTTCACCCACCAATCCGCTCACTTCCATTATTCTCAACATCAAGCGTTCCCTTGTCTATGTTCCCATAACATTTTGTTCATGCATACATGCATTCATTCATTAATTTAACAAGTATGTGTTAAATTCTTACTGTGTATCTGGCACTATGCTTAGTCCCAGAAATAAAAAATGAATGTATAGAAATTATCAAGGACCTTACTGTCAAGAAATTAATGGATGGATATACTTGTATTTTGGCACTCTTCAATTTTTATTATAAATATTTGTGTACGTATCTGTATTCCCCCTCCTTCCACCATCCTTCTACCCTCACAACCCAAACAACACACACACCCTAAAATAGTTTCATTATATATTTTTATAATATATCTTTTATTCCCAGATGCTATCAAAATATCACTCTTTCACACACACACACATGCACAGAAGATTATAACTATGAAGGTGTCTCAGGGGTTATGATACATTTTATTATGCATCACACAGTACACATCTGCTGAAAATGTGAGGTAAAAGCTAGCTATAGACTTGAATATACTATTGTCTTTCAAAATATAATTTGAGGAGCTTCTTGTTTTTTTTGTGATAGATCCATGTAAGTGACAATTCACTGTACTAAAAACAAGATTTAATAAGAGTCGCTGTCCCCAAAGTAAAGCTTAGGCAAACAGTTGTGTGTTAGTGAATTCATGGTTACTATTTACTCTAATCATGTAAATAATCCTGCGTCCTTACCTCTCTCTCCTGGTTTATGGCCTCATTGTGGACTTAAAGTATCGCAAGGGAGCATATCAAATCTCAGTGAGCGCTGTGCAAAAGTAACCATGGAGATAGGTGTGTGGATTCCACTGTTGTGAAAGCAGACTAGTAAGAAATGTAGTCTTTGTTTAAGTCGTGCTCTGTAATGTGATCGGAACATTACATCGGAGATAGGGTCGAAAATTAAAAATCAGTTACCTGGAGCTTTCTGCCAAAGGAACTTAAAGGACTGATTTTCTTTCCCCAGGGGGTAGAGTATTTGAACTATTTGAAATTAACATTCCTTGCATGTGACTCAGAGTAGCTCATGTGTGTTAGCCAAGCAGGTATTCAAAATACATTTGCTCACTTGCTTCAATTTGATCTGGGCATATAAAACCCAGTTTTATATGCTCAGTTCCACTGAAGCTGTTATAGAAATGTAAAAAGCATATGAAACAAAGAATTTTAACTTTTGTTCTAAAACATCAAGACTCAATTTGTAATGATTGCTACTTAGAAATAGTATAGTCGATTT